CGCTGCTGCTGCTGATGCTGCTGCTGCGGTGGCGCTGCTGCTGATAGTGCTGCTGCTGTTGCCACTGCTGTTTGTGCGTCTGCTGCTGCCTGCTGCTTTCGTCTTGCGCTTTGCTTCTGCCGCTAGGGTACTCTGTGCTGCTGCTGCTGCTGCTGCTGCTGCAGCCGCTGCTGCTGACGCATGTGTTGCTGCTGCCTCTTGCACCAAGTCGCTTCTTGCGTTGCTGCTGCTGCTGCTGCTGCTGCTGTTTCTCCTTGTGCTGTTGCTGCTGCTGCTGTTGTTTGTGCTGCCTCACCCCGCACTTTCTCTTCCGTTGACTTTTGTTTTTCCTGTCCAGCGGGCCTCTGGCTGTCTGGGGTCTAGGGTTTAGGGTTTAGGGTTTAGGGTTTAGGGTTTAGGGTTTACTCTCAGGCTAACGTGCGGCCGCGACACTTGTCGCGTGCCTTATCTGGAGTTGGGCCTTCGCAGCGAACTCAACAGAAGCACACCCACGATTTTCTACAGGCAAGGGTTTAGGGTTTAGGGTTTAGGGTTTAGGGTTTAGGGTTTAAGGTTTAGGGTTTGAAGTTAGGGGAAATTCTGGCCGTCCCCTTGCATTGCCGGGCCCTGTGCATCTGAGATCAGGCTTCAGTGCATCAGAACAGTAGATAAAGGGTTTAGGGTTTAGGGTTTAGGGTTTAGGGTTTAGGGTTTGGGGTTTGCTGCAGTGGTTTGCTGCACGGCGACGAAGTGGTGGGCCCAACAGTCGCGGTTTACATGGTGGCCCTTCTTGCCTCTCAGTTCTCTGAAATTGACGAGGTCATCCTCAAACCCTAAACCCTAAACCCTAATTTCCAAACCCTAAACCCTAAACCCTAAACCCTGATTTGCGTCAAAGCCCAGAGCAGGCAGTCTTCGAAGCGTGGAGGGTTTTGAAGGCTTGTGTGTCTGTTTGCTGTCGCTTTCCCCCGCGCGCAGCGCAGGGTCTAGGGTTTAGGGTTTAGGGTTTAGGGTTTGGGGTTTAGGGTTTGCGTGCAGGTGTTCTATTTGCTGTCGAGCCGGCGGCTGGTGGTTTTCCCCTTTCTAAACCCTTGGGGTTTCTTCAGCAACAACAGAGAAGAAAAAGGAGTGGATCCAAACAGGGACTTTCCCTATTTGAATTCTTCTTGTTTCCAAACCCTCAGTTCCAAGCAAGCCCAAACCCTAAACCCTAAACCCTAAACCCTAAACCCTAAGCCCTAAGCCCTTCAGTTTTCGGGATGGGTGCGACGCCGAGGCGTCGAGCGGCACGGAACAATTTTTGGCGCTTGTCTTTTAGCTCTTAGGGTTTAGGGTTTAGGGTCTAGCGTTTAGGGTTTAGGGTCTAGGGTTTAGGGTTTAGGGTTTAGAGTGTGAGGTTTAGGGTTTAGGGTTTAGGCAGGAAAGCTGCTTCTCTTTGTTGTGCTGGGTGCGGCTGTTGCCCTTCCTTCACTGGTCTGGCCACTGATGGGGGTCTAGGGTTCAGGGTTGAGGGTTTAGGGTTTAGGGTTTAGGGTTTAGGGTTTAGGGTTTAGGGTTTAGGG